AGCCTTCCCGCCCACGTCCCGCCCGTGCCAGTACAGACCGCCTCCGCCTTCACGCGCCTGATACCGAGGCGAGATAGCAGAAAAGGCAAGGAGGGAGATGCAACACTCGATCTAGTTTTGAAACATCCAGATGCAACAATTGCCAGTACAGCTCGCTAGATCCACGCTGCCAGGCCGGAGGGAGAGAGGAGAGAGGGCGCGCCGGAGATGACGTAGAGCTGAGGTGGAGGAGGAGGCACATCGCCGCCCGGCGCCGGTGGAGGAGCCGCCACCTCGCTTTCGCGCTTTCTTTGGATCCGGCTTGCTCCACGCCGGATCCGGGCTGCTCTCATTGGGCGCGCCAGATCCACCGTCCGGAGTGCCACTGAGCAGACCTCCACCACCGGAGACGCCACCGGAGCAGACCATCGCCCAGCTCTGGCGGGGCCGTCCTCCATCCAGAGAGAGAGAGAGAGAGAGGCGTGGCGGCTGAGAGATCCGCCGGGGGAGGGAGGAGGAGAGAAGCGGGCGGATTTGGGGAGGAGGAGGAGAGAGAGGCGGGCGGATGCCGGGAGGGAGGAGGAGAGAGAGCGCGGCGTCGTGCTTGAGATCCGCCGAGAGGAGGGAGAGAGAGAGAGAGGGGGCGGTTACGGGAGGGAGGAGAGAGAGAGAGGCGCGATTAGCCTGGGGAGGAGGAGGAGACAGCGAGGCCTTGCGTTAATTAAGTTTTTTTTGTTTGCCGAGTGTCCTAGATCTGGGCACTCGGCAAAGTTTGTTTTTTCAGTTTTCTTCTACTCTTACTTTCTCAGAAAAAATATTTTTTAAAGTTTTTTTTTAATTTTTTTTCTTCTTCTTCTTTCACAGAAGAAAGATTTTATTTCTTTGCCGAGTGTCAAAAAAAACACTCGGCAAACCCTCTCTTTGCCGAGCCAAACCTCCTCTTTGCTGAGTGTTTTTTTTTTGCCGAGTGTTTTTAGCGCAACACTCGGCAAAGAACTTGTTCGCCGAGTGCCTGAGGGAAAACACTCGGCAAATTTGATGTTTCCGGTAGTGCCTCCGTATCTAAATAATCATTCCAACTTTGTTGGGCAGTGAAAACATTCAAATTTGACTAAATTTATATAATATATAATAGCATTTATGACTAAATAAGTATCATTAGATTTTTCATTATTTATTAATTATATTTTCATATTATATCTATTTGATTTCATAAATATTTATAATTTTCTCTATTATTTTCGTCAAACTTGAGAAGCTTTGACTCTCCAAAAAAGTTGCAATTGACTTATAATTTGGGATGGAGGGATTATATTTGTCGTCGTTGATTTTTGCTCACAAGTTTGATCGCTTGTCTTTTTTTTAGGAAAAAATCCATTTTTGGCCCTCCAACTATGGCTGCAGTTTGTTTCTAGCCCTCCAACTCCAAAACCAGACAACCGCAGTCCCTTAACTCTCAAAACCGTTTAAAATTGGCCCTCGTGTCCATTCCACCATGGTTTCGGCCCAGTCAACCCGCCCGTGACATGGGTTTTGCCCGATCCTCGTCCCCTTCGCGGTATCGTCGTCAGCGGTCAACGAGCGAGAGCGAAGAGGAAGGAGAGAGAGAGCGCCAGAGGTCGATTTGGACGCTGCCGCGCTTGCTGCAAATCCACCCTTCCGGCGAGGCCCCGACACGGCCTCATCTCCGGACGAACTTCGCCACAACCGTCCGCACTCACGCTCTCCTGCGCCGCGAGATCCGATCGCGGGATGGAGTCGGGCTGCTTTCGCCGTCAGCCGGAGGTCTTTGCCGCGGGAGGGACCCGCTGGTGCCACGCCGGTTATGCCTTCGCATCTTGCGCCGCCTCATTGCGTGTTGGGGCCGGACGAGCGAAGAGAGCCGCGCCCGAGAGAGGCCACCATGGTCGCCAAAGCGCGACCGGAGAGGCGACCATGGCCTCACCGCGTGCCCCCGTTGAGCCCCACGCGTCGTGGCTGCGGCCCGGACGACCGCGCTCCCGAAGCTCGACGAGACGACGCCGCCGCTTGCGTTGGCCACCCGTGGCGCGCCCGGCCTCCTTCCTCGCCGCACGCTGCGCCGCGAAGCGAAGAAGGAAGGAAGGGCGGCCGCGAGCCGGCGATTTAAGCGACCACGTAGAGCCCTGTGCCCTTCGCCATCATCGGCATGCGTGCGCCGACGCGTGCAGGCGCCATGGACCCCACCTCCTCTCGCTTCACCGGTCATCTTCGTCGGTCATGCCGGGCGGTGATGGATGATGGCCCTCCCTCCGGGCCCGCGAGGTGCCCGAAACTCTGGCTGCCCAGATCTAGCTAGCACGTATAGCATAAGCGCCAAGCCGCGGCCGTAGCCTGACCGGCGAGAGCACGGCAACCACGCGATGCTGTGCGAAATGTGGCGAGGTCTTTGAGGAAAGAAGATGTGCTTTCGTCGGCGATGAAAGCAAGACCGGGGCCCGTTACGGCGGCGGCGGCGGCTCGAACTTAGCACTACGTGCGGCGCGTCGGCGTCGGCGTCGGCCGCGATGGGAGCCCGCGCACAGCAGATGAGGAGCTGCTGCGCGGGGAGCTCGTCGTCAGTAGCCGAGAGGTGAGCGCACGGGATGTGCCCTTGTGGAACTTGAAGCGCGCCATCTTGGGGTTTCCCGGGGCCTCGCGGATGAGGCGACGGCCGACGTCGCCGAGCGGGATGACGCCCGGCCAGGCCCTGCGCCAGATCCGCACCGCCCTTGCACGGAGACGGCAGCGTTGGAGGAGAGCCGTGCCACCTTGGCCCCGCCCCGCCCATGCCGCTTCGCCATAGAAGAAGAGCCCAGCGCCCCACGCCGCTTGCCTGGCTCTCTGTCTTTGGAGGGAGAGAGAGAGAGAGGAAGAAGAGCGAGGGGGGTGGGGCTCTCTCTCTGCTTCTCCGCTTCGCCACGCGTCGCGCTCTCCTTCCTCTCTCTCTCGCTGTTGACCACGCTGGCGATCAAGAAGGGACGAGGATCGGCCAAACCGTGGTCGTGGCCGGGCTGATGAATTGAAACCACGGTGGAATGGACACGAGGGCCAATTTTAAACGATTTTGAGAGTTAAGGGACTGCGGGTGTCTGGTTTTGGAGTTGGAGAGCTAGAAACAAACTGCAGCCATAGTTGAAGGACAAAAAAATGGACATTTTCCTTTTTTTAACCACGAAGATGAACGGCACGCCCAGGTTGATGAAGCCAAAAAAATTATTGTTTCGTATATCTTATGTGTATGGCTCATTTCATCATCTAAGATAAGATATTTTATTTAAGCACTAAGATAAGATATTTTATTTAAGCACGACTTATGTTTTTTATGTTAGAACAATTTATTGAATAATAAGATGAGCGGTCAAACTCGTGACAAAAAAAATGCAAAAAGCCGCCTGGCATACAAAATATGCAATCTTTAAAAGTCCATTTATGGGTTAAAGCAATCATCTTATAGTTGGAATATTCGTTTTGATGAAGTGGTCAAAGGGTTTGGCATCATCAAGAATGAAGAAGTACAAAAAGGCTAGCTTTTTTTAGCAAATCAAAAAGGCTAGTGGGAGCGCAATTGTATATCTGGTCCTTTATGTGGATGACGTATTGTTGATCGGGAATGACATTCCAATGTTAGAAGCCATTTGGGCCGGGCCCCCCTGCCTCTCCCTCCCATAGGCCATAGGCCATAGGCCATAGGCCATAGGCCATAGCCCATAGCCCATAGGCAGGCCCATAACCATTTGGGCCGGGCCCTCCCTTGCCTCTCCCTCCCATAGGCCATACTCCGTAGGCCATAGCCCATAGCCCTGTCGTCGCAGTCGCCGCCGCCGCCCGCCGCCCTCACGCCCATCTCACGACGCCCGCCGCGGTTCCATTCGCGCCCCTCCGACAAGCCGTCTCCGCCGCCCGCCCCATCCAGGAGCAGCCTGCCACCAGAACATTCACCCCAACTGGCCTTGGTTGGAAGTTCGTCCATCCCACAACTGAACTGACAGCCACCCATGGCGCCGCACGCGCTGCTCCGCGCCGCCGCATCCGAGCTCCGCCGCCGGGGGCGCCTTGCCCCTCTCCCCCTACCGGCGCTGTCGTCGCTCCTCTCCTCGCCGTCTCCACAGAGCCCAGCCTCCAGCCGCCCCGATCCTAGCCCGCACGCCGACCGGCGCCACCTCATCGCGCTCCGCCGGTGCCCGCCGCACCCGGCGTCCGCCGTCCTCGCCCCGAGGTGCTCCACGGAAGGTTCTCCTCCCGAGCCACTTCTCGCACGCCTCGCGGCTCTCCACCTCCTCGTCCTCTTCCGAACCCGCGGGCAAGGCCTCGCCGACGCCGCCGCTCACGTGGGTGGACAAGTGGGTACCGGAGGCGGCGCGGCCGTACGCCATGCTCGCCCGCCTCGACAAGCCCATCGGGACCTGGCTCCTCGCCTGGCCCTGCATGTGGTATGCCTTTCCTTCTTGTGTTCTCCTGCTTCTCAATGCTCTGCATTGTCATGCCTTTGCATGTCTGATTCAGTTAATCCATGCGTCCCAACACTAACAGAAAAACGAGGTGGCGATTAGTGGTTCGACTCATATGTACTGTTAAATGCTTTACTTTTGCCTTATGAAAGATGAAAGGAAAAAAAAAGGGCGAGGTTTTGCTTGTCGATGTACAGTCCAAAAAGTTTAGGAAGAATAGAAGACATGCACATTGGTACTGGATACAAGAACAGCTCAATGTTTTGCTCCCCAGTTTTATACTATCACCACACATAAACGCAGCATATTTCCTTGTTAGCTACAGATTCAACTAAATGGTATTTCCTTGTTCGGCTGGTATTAAAGCCAGCTGAAGCTGTTTTGTGGTGAGAGAAAAATACTGTAGATTCTAGCTGATAAGTTCAAGCGAACAGGCCCTGTTAGAGCTTCTAAGGAGGAGGGACATTATTTTATCTGTTATGCATGTGTTGAAATTGAATTCTTTTACACTATTAAATTGATAGGATGTTTTACCCTCTGTGTTGAAGAATCAATCAGACCTTTGCTTCACAGGTCGATCACAATAGCAGCAATGCCAGGGGAGTTGCCAGACTTGAAAATGCTGGCACTCTTCGGATGTGGAGCTGTCCTCCTCAGGGGGGCTGGTTGCACAGTGAATGATATTCTCGATCGCGACATTGATAATAAGGTGATTTTGCTTTCTTTTCATGTTCTGAGTGCTGATGATGCCTTGCACCTAACCTGAATTAAGCACAACAAATAATCAACCAATGAACAAACTGTTCTGGATGTTGCATGGCCTTTATCTGGTGACATATTTCTCCATAGGTTGAGCGCACCAAAAGTAGGCCTTTTGCCTCAGGAGTGCTTACTCCTTTACAGGGAGTGGGCTTCCTTGGAATTCAGCTCCTATTGGGACTGGGCATTCTTCTCCAATTGAACAGCTATAGGTATTTAAACTCAGATGCTTCTTTGTCTGATGTGGCTGCCACTATTATATGCATTTAGACTATCCATGTTCCCACAACCACTTATCAGTGAGTGTCAACAGCAGAACATTATGATCAAATTATTTAGGGGCTCTTTATTCCAACTCTTTTTCTTGAGGATAATTAGGATATTCATGTCCTGCAATTTGATTTGATGGGAACTGTACTCATTTTACTTCCCATATTCTTTCTATCTTGTTTATGTGATAAACTCACTGCTTCCTGGACATCAGTATGGTCTTCAGTATGACATTTTGACTAGCAACAACAACAACGACAACAAAGCCTTTAAGTCCCAAACAAGTTGGGGTAGGCTAGAGTTGAAACCCAGCAGAAGCCATCAAGGTTCAGACACGTGAATATCTGTTTTCCAAGCACTCCTATCTAAGGCTAAGTCTTTGGGTATATTCCATCATTTCTAGTCTCCTTTTATTGCCTCTACCCAAGTCAACTTCGGTCTTCCTCTGCCTCTCTTCACGTTACTATCTTGGCTTAGGATTCCACTACGTACCGGTGCCTCTGGAGGTCTCCGTTGGACATGTCCAAACCATCTCAACCGGTGTTGGACAAGCTTTTCTTCAATTGGTGCTACCCCTAATCTATCACGTATATCATCGTTCCGAACTCGATCTCTTCTTGTATGACCGCAAATCCAACGCAACATATGCATTTCCGCGACACTTATCTGTTGAACATGTCGTCTTTTTATAGGCCAACATTCTGCACCATACAACATAGCAGGTCTAATCGCCGTCCTATAAAACTTACCCTTTTGATTAGCAACATGTATAAAAATATATTAAGTGATATATAAGGAAAATATTTTTCATCATCAATCTAGTCATGCCAGTCTTGTATTTTCAGTCTGTATAAAACTTTAGGTAATAGACAAAGTTAAAGAAGTTTGACTTAGGACAAGATGGACTTATTTGCGATTGGAGGAAGTATGCTTGTGGCTATGACCGGGATGGTCCTTTAACTGCAGCATTAAGCCATTAACCAACGTGTTTTGGGTTTGCATCCTAAGGTTATGGTGCTACCTAGGGTCCAGTTGCATTTTCTTGATTGATAACCAGGAAATAAATTGGGCCGCCACACAGTTCTCCCTAAGAATATATAGAAGCATACTATGTGCCTGTTAATATTTTCTTATCTTTGCATTACCTGAAAGTCAAAACAAAGGTATCTTGACTATAAGCAGTTTATACATTATCTTTTTGTCATTTTTTTTTTGTGTGTAGTCGTATTCTGGGGGCGTCTTCACTTTTTCTGGTCTTCTCGTATCCCCTGATGAAGAGGTTCACATTTTGGGTATGTGCTGTATTTGTGCATATGGAGGCTTATATAGAATAATACTATATTACTACTTATAGAGTGAGGGCTTGTATTTCTTTTGGTGCATTAATAACAGCCTCAGGCTTATCTTGGCCTGACATTCAACTGGGGAGCTTTATTAGGATGGGCTGCTATTAAGGAAAGCTTAGAGCCTGCAATCATCCTTCCATTGTATACCGCTGGTATATGCTGGACACTGGTGTATGATACTATATATGCGCATCAGGTGTTTCCCTATTCCCACTCTTTCATACTCATCCTTGATGAAGTGACCATTTCATGTTGTCGCAGTGTCTTATCCATGTGTATCTACATGCATCTCAGGACAAAGAAGATGACCTCAAAGTAGGAGTTAAGTCCACAGCATTAAGATTTGGAGATTTGACCAAATACTGGATCAGTGGCTTTGGTGCGGCATGCATTGGCAGCTTAGCACTCAGTGGTTACAATGCTGACCTTGGTTGGTGTTTAGTGCGATACTTGAGTGAAGTAGTATTCTTTTTACTTGATATTGACTCTAGACCTGAAATCATTTCGAACAGGATGGCCCTACTATCCATTTCTAGTAGCTGCAGCTGCACAGTTAGCGTGGCAGGTTTCAACTGTGGATCTGTCTAGCCGCTCAGATTGCAACATGAAGTATGTTCTTCTTGCTTGGAATATCCACTACCTATTGCCATTTTGATGCCTACATAATGTGGTTGTTGATATCCACATTATGTGTCCACCTTAATTCGATGAATTGATGCCCTGCAGGTTTGTGTCCAACAAGTGGTTTGGAGCTTTGGTATTTAGTGGGATTCTATTTGGGCGTCTTTTATCGTGATAATCATTTGAGGAAGAATGGTGTGTTTCTATGATGGGCCCAGTGTAACCTAAGCAATTCTGTGATGAGATGTAGGAAGACTACCAAGCCCTTGACTCTGGGCTAGGCGGCTAGCTAATGCGGCGTGGTGCAGAAGTGGACTTTGTAAGCTCCTTAACACATATCATAGCATATGCTTTCATCCTTGCTAATTGCCTTTTTTTTTACAATAATCAAACCTTGGCTTGTGAAGCAGGCTGTTTTCCAAGCATATCAATTATGGTGGTGCTCTCCACCTCGTGTACGTAGTTAATGGTGTAAGACAAGATCACAAGAGACATGAAAAATACATTGATGTACAACAATCACATTCTTGTGTCGTTTATATACGTTACGTATGCCAAAAGATGAGCTAGCGCATGCACCCTTTTTTTTCCCCCCTTTTGCCACCTCGAGCTGAAAACAAGTGGGCAAAACATTGCAGTATATTGTTACATGAAAGCAGATGCACATACACCGATGTGTCCATTACCTGGCTGAGGACGTAGCCAGCTTACCATACTGATGCTTTCGTTTTGGACTGAGTGCCTTGGAATGAATCATCATCAACCATGTATGCCCAGGAGTCATCAATCAATCTAGGCAATTGGTAGCATGGTTTGGCAACCTTCAGTTTTGCTCCGTTGTCATCTGTCCAGTATCCCGTATAGATGCAATGGTAGTCCACAATCTGAGATTGATATGCTGCCTCTGCAACCATAGTGACGCAGCTAACTGGGCTTCAGGCCTTTAGAATGTGGGATTCTTTTTTTTTCCCCCTGATTCCTATGTTTTTTTAACATGGACTACTTCCTGCGAAATTCATGCAGGAGCAGGACTACTTTCTGTGAAATTCATGCGGACCCTCGATCCATGAAAAATATAATAACTGCACATACTCCCTCAGTCTGAAAAAGAATGCAATTTTAGATTAATGTAATTTTATATATAAATCTAGACAAATGCTTGGTCAAATTCATTCCTAAAATTGACTACAATAACGAAACAGCACCACCATTGCATTGGCTGTTGGCTCAGTATCTAACAAGGGAGGCTCTTCCCCAGCTATTCAAGTCGCCGAAATATCAGCAGCATACATATGCCCTGCTGTTTCTCACCCTAGTTCTCTCTAGTGCCTGCCTACCCGCATGCTACATGACTGGGTCGATGGCAGTCTATACTTCCACGGACCAGCTAATCAACCATCCATCGGTGTCGGCCGGCGATCACCATACATGAACAAAAGCTCAGACACCTTAATGCCTGACCATCGATACAGCCTACAAGCTCAGCTCCTTCCAAAATGCATGATCCCCAGCCCAAACTTGACAAATCAATCGCCACAATTTCGAGAACCTACTGGGCGACCTCGCCTTTTAGGCTTCTCATCAGCAGCTTCACTTTTGGACTTGCTGTCCTTGATGCCACGCCTTTTAGGCTTCTCATCTGTGGCTTTGCTGTTGGACTTACTTGGCACTTCGCCTCTTCGGCGACTGCCCTGCCTTTTAGGCGGCGGCTTCTCATCTACAGATTCATCTACACAGATGTTCTCACCAACCCCAATCTTCAACTTGCCAGAACATAATGAGTCACCAAAATGTACAGCTGCCAATGACTGATTATGGTTAGTTTCACTTACCCTTCTGAGGAACAAGGATCCAAGAAATTTACAGCTTCGTTCAGGGCATGAAGAGCCATCCTCTTAATCTGAAAAAAGAACACATATTCGGCTCTAGGTTAGTCATCACATCAGATATATCAAGCCATAAGCGCAGGCCAGATCATGGGAAGTACACAGTGCTAACCTCTAGCTTGTCTTCTTTAGCTCTGTGGAAAGAAGGAAGTCGTCTAAACTCCCCAGTCAACTTAACACACTCACCAACATTTTCTGGGGAAACAAAATCGAGAGCAACTTTGATGCAGGACTGCACACAGATGAAGATGGTTTCATCAATCACAACCATGATATTTGATGTCACTCAAAAGGAGAACGAAAAAGATCCAGCTTGGTTGTCACACTGGTAAAGCTTGGTCACACCTTCAAATTTCTCACTTGGTGAGGACATCCAGCAGGAATGAAAACAGCTTCACCAAGCTTCTGTTCAAACGTCCAGGGTTCAATACCTAAAGCAGGAAGTCAAAAGATAAGACAGAACATGCGATCTTTGGTGATACTGTTGGGGATATCAAAGAAACAATTTCTAACCATATTCTTCCTTGAGCTTTCTCTTATGCTCCTCAGTTAAGTAGAAAGACTGATCGTGAATTGGGTGAAATACCTGCTTATTTAACATGATTAGTGATCAGCATAAAAAGGTAAGAATGTTTCTTTTTTTTCTAAAAAAAGGACTGCAAGTCTGCAACAAGAAAAGGACCTTTTTCACTGGATTGCAGTAAATATGCCGGAATTCAGAGCAATGCTTCCTAAGATATTCTTGTAATTTATCAGAATCCTGTCTGCGGAAGATATCCGGTGCTCTGTTGCTCTGAGCTCTCCACAACAGGCATTTCCAGATTATCTTCAGAACTTCCTTTTAGATAAGCATCAATGCCACTGCAATCAATCTTTTCAGATTTCTCTTCTTGAGGTTTAATGCCAACTTTCTTGAGTTGTATCATGTCCGTGCTCTTTCGATTGTGTGAAATGTAAAGACCTCCATTGTGCATCCCATCAGTTGTGTTGACCCCATTGCTGTGATCTGCACACTGACCTAGTTCACTTTGTGATTCTGATCCATGAGATAATTCTTTATCATTTGCATCATCTTCATCGTCGTCAAGTGGTAAAGCATTGATGTCCAAACCTGCAGGACACATGAAATGCCGTTATTCTGAAACTGAATGATTGGATTCATTACCAAAAGTGAATGTATTACAAACCATTATGATTGTCTCTATTGACACACTTGTCTTCTCTACTATATGAGGTCTTCAATCCTTCATCAACAGATTCATTCTTGCATTCAGTTGGAGCTGGTGACAACTTGAGCTCGGTGCGGGGTTTGAGACCCCCCATATAGTTCCTGCAGATCTTGCTCTCTCATGTATTTTTGGATTTTTTCAATTTGACGAATATCAGTCTGACAAGTGACTTCAGCTGTGTGTGTCAAGATGTTTACCTGGTCATATCACACACGTTTGACAATTAATATTGACCATGTTAACTATAAGTGATTTTTTTTTATAAACCCAAGTGGTTGACAAGAAAAATAAGAACTATTATTAAAATGTCAACAAATGAGCTAGGTAAATAGCAATGAGATACATCTGCTAGGAGAGCATTAGAAAATGAGCAGCTTTGACAGGAGCCTTGCTGAAGTCAGTTCTATATTTTTGTTCAGCACTAAAACCACATGCAGAACAAGAGAAGGCATATAATCATTAATAAACAGAACATACCGCATCAGATATGTCACAGTGAAGCTTGGTCACAGAATCACCCCTGCCTAGCTCTTTGTAGAACCCATAAGCAATGTAACTTTTGGGTCCAAGATCTGGTTTCAAGACACCAGCAGGAAGCTTGGCGGCAAGATTTAGCAGGCCATATCGTGGATCAGTATACTCACGAAATGGCAATGCGCTAATAAATTCGGCACCGTGACGCGGCAATCGCTTGTCAAAGGAACTAGAAGGAGGCCAGTCTTTTAGTTTAAGCATCACAGGCCAGTGAGTCCTAGCATGAGTTCTGCCTGTTGTATATCCCGAAAAGAACTTATGTATGTTAATTTCCACCTGCAACATATAAGGATAGTAAATGCCTGCATGAAGCTGCAAAAGAAGCAAGGCACATCTAAATTTAAGATGAGACTCATAAACATCCCTAGTTGAAATGAGAACTTCACTGGAAGTTTGTCAATACTATAATAATATGTGTTCTTTTCTTCTGGACACAAACACAGGCCCAGCTGTACTTAGGCTGGTCACTACTCAGTACTGTCCTAAGAATTTCTGTCAAAAGTCAGAACTTTTTTTTATTTTATACAAGCCAACCGACCTTGATATTAGAAACAAGAAATATCAATCAATGGTTATCATCCACCAAAATAGATTCACCCACTTAGAAACATTTAGGAATAGAGCTCCCCACCTCACACCAATCAAGGCAATCTATCGCCCAAACAGCAAATTGCTCATCTTCTGCTTTGCCTTTGGATCTTTCCCGCAATGCCCACCACATTACCATTGGCTCCCAACTCAGACCAGAGGTTAACTGAAGGACATCAGAAACAACAACTGGCTCACCCTTTGCCCAATGCATCTGAAAATGCACTATGTCATCATCTTGAATACCAGTAGCAACTGGACAGTATAGGAAGTTATCACTTGAGTCCTTCCTGCTTGCAGCCTCCCGTACTGATTTGCTTTCAGTTCTTATCTTGCCTGAATGATCAAAGCAAGGGCACCGATCACTTCTACTAACCATTGCTTTAGCTAATGTCTCGCTCCTGAGAACTTTGTCAGCTCTATCTTCTATCTCAGCAAGCATCTTCTCTGGAAACAAGCACTTGAGGTCCAGAAGTGTATTACCACAGCCTCCTACTTCCTTTGGTGGACAAGGTATGTTACCATCACTCTTTGTTTTCCAGAGCAACAGACCGTTATTGGGGTTTCCAACAGCAGGCATGCCGTTGTAAGACTGACCATTTGAGGAGTTCTTACTTCTATTAGCATCCTTTGACAGAGGAATCTTGCCAAAAGAATAACTTCTACCTTTAGGTTCAGCTGGCACATACTCCACCTCTTCTCCTCCTGGGATCTCACCTTTGCGAAGCTCCTTGCAGCAGTTAAGGCAAAGATCATAGAAACAATGCTTGCAGCTTCTATGAAAATCAACAATAGATGTTCTACACCTGTCGCTGCAGTAGAGGGAATGAATAGATTAGATGCCAACCATTAGATTTATAGCAGAAAGTAACCAGGGAAAGAAACCAACCAATATACATGATCATCTAGGTCAACCTCAGCTTGTTCCACTTTTATCTCATTCATTGAAACTCCTGTCCACAAAACCAGACCAGTCTGTAACTGTATCCCAGAAACCACTACCAGTCTGTAACTGTATCCCAGAAACCACAGTACCATACCTCGTATTTTAGCCTCTACTTCCTTCTCCTCCATGTTCTTGTTGCAATTCTCTCATCCAGGGAAGCAGCAAGCTTACGATATGACAAGCATAACAAATTTTATTTTCCTTAGAGATCTCCTTTTTTGGAGGCTGGTAAGAGGAATGGGGTAAATCATTAACAATGGGCACTAAAAGATAATTATTTGACATTTGAGTGCATACATATAAGCAGAACAGTGCAAATACTGTAAAGGGATGATGAGTTGTTAAGTTTATACCTCTTCAACTCCCCTCATCCGTAGGCATGCCTTGCAATTACAGTTCTTGCGACAATATGGGCATTTCACAGCAAATTCATCTTCTGGCAAATTAGGATACCTATTTACAAGAAACTCTTTGGGTCACTTGAACATTGTGCAACACACATGATGAAACAACATGACTCTTGCAAATGTCAATAGCCAGTGAAATAAAAGTATTGGAAAGAAAACGCTTCAAATTTCATGTAGCATATGAGACTAAAACAGTTCAGTAAAACACAGAAAATCAGTGAATGAAGAGCAAACGGTGATCAACTAAAACTGTGCAGGTCATATTTGTAACTGTTGTATCAGAAGAAACAGTAGATAAAGAGCAATCCAATTATTAGTATGAAACAAGATTATGATAACTTGACACACCATTGTTCTATGCATAGCACACAGAATAGCTTTTTTTTGCATGACTGACACCGGACAACCCGCAGTTTGTCCTTCCTCTGGCACTGGTGGCACATGAGGGCATTTTCCCCAGTCAACATCATACTCCCTTTCTGGATATTTTTAAAACAAAATTTGCGTTCATAAAAAATAGTTGTGAAGAACCACTTCATATACAACATAATGCAAGAAAATGAGCAGCTCACCATATTATTTTTATCAAGGGTTTCATCCTTGGTGGATGGGAGCTTCTTTTGTTCTTTATCCACTTTGTTCAACTTTTTTGTCATAGACTCTTTCCCTACATCTCTTTTCCGCTTCTTTGCATTCTGCAAAAGCTTATGATTCCTTGACTGCTTGCTCCTTGCTGCCTCAGCATCACTCTGCAAAAGAAAGAAGTTGCTAAGCCTGATGACACTCTGGTTTTTATATCCAAGTGAAGGTGATAAACTGCATTTGTTGGCATCCTAATACAGGCACTAGCATCCCCTAAAGATTAGACTATCCACAATGCGATGAGAGATCGACGCCGAAATAGGAGAGAGAGTTTTAGCCCCAGGTCATACCATTGGACATCACACGCTGAATTGAAAAGGCTAACTTGCGAGTCAAGTGCATGCATCGGTGCTGGATAAATAAACAAGTATAATTTGGCTGGGCGTTAATGGCAGAGTGCTCCTAACCATGTGCAGGCATAATGACAAGCACAACAGATGCACATTGCACGTTCCAGTCTTTCAGGGCTTATGATGCATGATTTTAATGAATCGCTAAATTTCCATATATGCTCCATTAATGCAATGTCCAGGAATTTGATTGCACAAAATCGAATTCAGAACTTTAGATGATAGTTATGATTGATGTCAACCCGATGCGTGGGTAAGAAATTTAATGTATGACATTGCAGCGAAGCACACAATTTATCAGCTAAAAACAATACACTAGAATAGCAGCTAGCAAAGAATTTTATCATACTAATGAAAAGGATCCCTGTAAACCAGGCAATCAGCTCGAAATATCTTCTACATGATTAATATTTAAAGTATGCATACAATCAAGAACACCAATATGAGGTGCAATATCAAGATAGAAGAATAATTATTTTTAAGTAAAAAATGAAACCAGCATCTAATCATTTATAGAGGGTGGAAGTTCTGGGCTCAGAAAAAGCTAGGATATTAACTGATTATTATCGAATGATTGCTACAGTAAACAAATTGATCACAAAAAGGAACCTTCCCTAGTCAGCATTAAAAGAACAACAAATGTTCAAAAGAATTTAAACCATTTAGAAGTGACATGGAACCTTACGACAGGGTGTTTGGATATTTTATTGGCTTCAGCTAAAAGGAGTCCTAAAATATGTTGTTAGATACTGACAGATATGTGGCGACAGAACTATTCATGTAAATGGTACGAAAACAACACCATACATACTAGTCAAGTTAAGGATTTGATTCTGCAGAAACAAATAAAAAGTAGAGAAAATAATAGAAATTCAACCATTTTGGTGATGCTACAGAATAGGTCCAAAGTTTTCAAGTCAAGTATTTTCAGGCCCATAGCTACAAAACCGTTTTGAGCAATTTACCCTGTTTGTTTCACCATTGGAGAACTGGCACCTACTAACCACTTGTTCTACTGTTAGTTTCTTGGGTCTTCCCCTTCCCCTCTTCTTCCCAGCAGCATTCTACAAGCAAAATAACAATTAGTCCATTGTAGCACAAACTTGACAAGAATAAAAACTATAAATAAATAAATATAATGTGACTTGGACATTTTCAGGAACATGGCACAGGATTTTTTTTAGATGGTGGGAGTAATCTCAGGGAGAATGGTTGCAGAAGTAGTGATAGAATCAACATATATGGTGAAGGACTTCATGAAACATCAGTGACTGTGGGTGTGGGTGTGGGTGGGTGGGGGGGGCGGGGGGGCGAGGTGTGGGGGTAAGTGGCGTAAAAATATTTTAATTTCTTTATATGTTCATCAATCAACTGTTGCAGAGGGTAGCAAGTGACATACCGAATTCATTTGGCCATTGCTTTTACCATTGGAACTCTGGGCCTTACTATCCAGTTGGTCCGCTTCCATTTTTCTGGTCCGCTTCCATTTTTCTGGGTCTTCCTCTTCCTCCCTTCTTTACAGAAACACCTGTTTTACCACTCTCGTGGTTGACTTGATTAATCGTAGTTTCCCCATCATCATGCTGGCAAAACAGCAGTCAGTCAATTGATGCACAGCCTCAGCAAGGACTAATCCAGCAAAAATTTCAGGAACGCAGGAAAAGGTACTTCGAAAAAACAAATCATAGAAAATTGCATCGGTCCTCATCGGATGCACAGCCTCAGTAAGTATAAGAAGCAAATCGGCAGGGTGATAGTGGAGCATTGTTTACCCATTGAAAAACAAAAATCCAGTGGCAAGAGCATAACTCGCTGCCGCCTGGATAATAAAAGGTGAAGGGGAAACGCCAGAGCAGGCGAAGTTCATGCCGCGGCGAATGTGCAAAGAGGAACAAAACCTGCTCACCTCAGTATCGCTGTCGCTGTCCCAGTCGAAGAACGCATTGGGCGCCGGCCTCCTCTCCCTGAGCGGCCTGATCCCGGCCGCCACCCCGCGCCCTAGATCCCCGAGGCTCACCGCGGGCACCGACAAGGCCCGGTCGCTGGTGCGCCGCCTCCGCCTCCCCTTGGTCCCGGCCTTGGGCTTGGGCGTCCTATCCCTGTTGCTCTTGTTATTCTTGTTGAGGCTACCTTTGGGCCTCCCACTCTTCCACTTGGTTTCCTCGCCGCCTCCGGCCGCAGGAGCCGCGCCCGCGTTCCCGGACTCGGCCTCGACCCCCTCCGCCTCGTCCGCCATGGATTGGGCGGCGAGTGCCGCGGCGCCGTCGCGCACAGTGTACACAGTGTGTCGGTGTTTCGAGGTACACCGACAACTAAATTTGACGTCTGGACTCGGATAGTACGTTAATTCGGCCATAATGTCTGTACGTCCACTTCATGGCTGCCGTTTGTGTTACCATTGAAAATTTGTAGTAGAGATTGTAAATAGGTGAGAGAGGAATAGATTTCTAAGTCCCTAATGCAAAGCATGAACAGATGTCGAGAGCTCGTTCGCTGCTCGGCTGTATATTCGGGGTTCGATGATGTGATCGGATTTGAGTCTCCTGTGGTATGTTGCGATGAGTTTCCCTCCTTTTTAATGGAGCGTACTGCTTTCTCTTTTATAGATCGAGGAAAAACAGGGGCTACAGCGGAGGGAAAAGAGGAGAATCAGAAGGAGAAGAAGTCCCCTGGGATCGTCGGGTCCTTCTTCTTTTCTATGCGGGTCCCGCTGACCCTGTATACGTCAACAGGGACAGCTTCACGTCGTGGCCATATCCGTCACTGGCGCCATGCGCAGGCGTCGTCTCCCGATCGTGGTGTTCCACTCCGTCCTGGCGGACGTCGTGGTGAACTGACGCGTCTGTCAGTACCCGTACGAGGATTAGGAAAAATAGCACTGGTACGCCCGACGTTGTTCCTGATGTGAATCCCCAGGTATGGTCCGTCATGGCCACATGTTATATCGAGGCATGCCGGTCACCTCCCTGGTGTCAGAGCTTTGATCCAGGCCCATTCGTTTGGACTTGGAGTGATTGACGATGGTATGGGTCTCCGTCGGGTGAGGCGGAGTCCTCCCCCAAAGGCTGGGCGAGGCAGAGCGCAGACCAAGGGTCGGGCAAAGCGGAGCGCAAACCCAAGGGTCGGGCAAGACAGAGCCCGCGGCCTCGGGGTCAGGCGAGGCGGAGTCCTCCCCCAGAGACCGGGCGAGACGGACCGTAGACTCAAGGGTCGGGCGAGGCGGAGCGCAGACCCAAGGGTCGAGCAAGGCGGAGCCCGCGGCCTCGGGGTCGGGCGAGGCGGAATCCTCCCCTAGAGGCCGAGCGAGACGGAGCCTAGATCCAAAGATCGGGCGAGGCGGAGCTTGCGCACCTGGGGTCGGTTGGAGCTGTAGTCGCGCTTTTGACTGCTCGGATGTATCAACGTTGACGGTTATTGGCTCCTCCTCTTTGAGTACCCTAGTATTGGTCCCCGACAGTAGCCCTCCGAGCCTGTGGAGGAGTAGAATACTCCTTTAGAGATTTTTCCGAACAGGAGGACTCTGAGGGCCCTGGCCTTCTTTTGTTTCCCACAGCATGTCCCGGGGACGGTGATTCCCTATCGTCGAGGTCGGATTTCATCGTGACTTATACTTTTCGTCTCTTGCAGCGTCGGGAGGCAGCGTAATCCATGGCGCTGGCACCAAAGAAGAGCATCGTCCTTCAAGCAAGGCGGTAGCCGTCGGCTGGCGTCGCGCCCGTTTCGAGCGAGAGCGGTGCTAGTGTGACTATGTCGACGGCCGGTCAGGCGCCACCCATGGTGGCGCCCGTGCCCTTGGCAGGACGGGCGAACGCGGGGGCTCAAGGGACGCCTTCGGAGGTCGCGGAACAGCTGGCGATGGCAGCGATATCGCTGCCGACATCGGTGCGGACGGGGCTACCGACCACGCTCACGGCGCGGACCGTGCCGGGCGCGACGCAGCCGGTCAGGACCCTACCGACGCAGGCGGAGGTGGCGGAGGTGGCGGCGGCTATGACAGGCGGGTCACAGCCGGGCGCTATCGTGGCGGCGCTTGAGGAACCGGCGCGACCCGCACCATCGATGCCCCAGGTGACGGCGTCTAGCGTGGGCCGGGCGGAGGGGGGTGCGGTCGAGTGGTCCCCGGAGGTCGTGGTGCTAGGAGAGGAGTGTGCGTCCGTACCGCTAACCAATTCCGTCGCCGGAGGGAGTGTCCCGGCGGGGACGTCACGGCGACAAGGGTCGGCGGCGATCGGAGCCGACGGGGAGCTATCCCTGGCCCTGATGTCGATGAGCAGTGACTCGCCTACGTGGGGCGAGCCCCTGCTCCGGTGGGTGAGTCCAGAGGATCCGACGTCGATGCTCTTCACTCTCTACGCCGCCGCAGAGAGCATGGAGCGGGAGAGCCTCGACGTGGGGATCACACCCGTGCTCGAAGCCCTGGACCACGCCCGAGGTGCCTTGCATGACGTCGAGGTTCCCTCTGGCCTAGTATTCGCTTGACCCTAGTTCTCGCCCTTTTCTTTCTCTATATATTTTTCGTATTCTGACCATCGTCTCCTTTCAGTCCCTTATCGCTTGCAGCCGGGGGAAGTCTTGGTTCCTTCGTGAGCAGAAGGAAACCTAGGACCGCCTCATCGAGGAGGCACGGCTGCACGGGGAGGTGACCGCTTAGCTTGTTGCTGCCCAGTAGAGGGTAGCCGAGCTGATTCCCCTGGTTGAGGAGGCGGACAGTCTTTGGTCGCGGGTGGCCGAAGCCCGTCGGCATGCTGACGAGGCCGAGAGGGCGTTCGAGGCCCTGTCAGCAAGATCGCGGAGGGACAACGAGGAGGCCGCCAAGGTTAGGAAGGAGCGGGACGAGCTGCTCCAGAAGGACGCCGAGACCCACCAGCGGATCCTCGACCTTCTGGCCGAGGTTGAGAAGGAAAGGGAGCTGAAGTTGGATGCCGAGGAGAAGCTCGCGACCCTGGAGAAGAGGGTGAGTCTATATGACGCGGCGGTCGCCCGGCTGCGCAAGGAGTGGGATGAGCTGCTCCAAACCACAGAGAGGCTCCGCTCGAAGCATGGCATGGCTCACGAGGAGCGCAACTAGGCCCTTCGAGAGCGTGACTATGCCTGCCAAGAGCACGATGACGCGCAGCAGAAGGTCGGCTCCCTCTAGGTCGAGCTCAGAAATGCGACGACCCAGAAGCTGGAGGCCGAGAGCTTCTCTGCCGGGCTGGCCGTAGACCTCGCCAAGGTGAGGAGAAATCTTTAGGCGAAGAGCGATGATCTCGGTATCCTGAGCGCCACCCTCGGAGTGGTCTGCGATGACCTTGAAGTGGTGCGGTGTAACACCTTCGGTGTTACACTGTAAATTTTTTTGCTAAAACATGTCATGAGCATCATGGTTATGTGTCAATGTATGTAATATAGTGTGTGAATCAATTTAAGAAACTTAAAATGACCAAAGGAAATTCTTAACGAAAGGTCGTTCGTGACGTATAAAATTATCAAGTATGGATGTTCGCGAATTTTTATTGAACGAAAACACTATAGAATGTATATACGGAGCTTTAGTAAAGCTGGAAGTATGAACTTTGTAGATGGCGATGAAATACCTGCGGTCAAGAAATGAATTCACTAGCTAGCATATCGAATAGCTTGGAAATCGAATTTGACGCGAATCCGATCGAGACTTGGTCGCTTTCGTAAGTCTAAAAAGTGGTTTGACAAAGCTAAGTTTGGTGATTTTTGTAGAAGAATCGGGTTAAGGAGTGATGGGGTATTAAGGCTTGTTTTAGTAGCCTAGCATGCCCTCTTAAGTATAGCATAGGTGGTTTGGCAATTGAATCATCGAATTAGATTTTTGGGACGCTTTAAAAAGCGTCCATGGCACCAAACTTTAAAACGCGTGCTTGGCCGAGCTTAGCTGGCTGCGATGGCCGGCAGCCCTGGCTGGCAGTGGGCCCTCCTCTCCGCCGCGATGCATGCTGCTGTTGGCGCCACTGTTTGTGCCCTGGGGCCGCCCGCATCGCGTTGTGCTCGGCTCTGCTCCGCCAGACGCCGTCGTCATCCATGGGGTGCAGTGGCATCGCATGGCCGTAGCCGTCGTCGCCAACACGTGCACGTCTCCTCCACGTCGTGTCGTCACATCGCGTGCGCCCACGCCGCTTGCGTCACGTCGCCACTGCCGTTGCTACGCGTGCCTACTGCACCGGCACATGACCGTGTCACCGTCGGCTTACCAATTAAGGCGCTGCGGCCGCACGAGCCATGCCAACTTGTACGCGCACGTGTAGCCTCCTCTATGTGCCCTTGTCCACTTCTATTGAGTGGCATGCACCACTCTGCGCTCCCCCCGTCATCTCTGGCTTTAATGGCGTCGCACCGACATCACCGAGCCGCGCCAAGGCCATCTCACAGCGCTGGTCCAATCCTAGTAATTGCGCACGCCAGAAGCGCATTTGGGAACCTAGCTACGCGCCAAGCTCGCCCATTGCTACAGTCGTACCGTGTTAAGCCTCTAATTGAAGATTCCCCGCCGTCGACCACCTTAAGACCGAACGGCGATGCCCATCCAATTCGCCTCGCACCGTCTAGCTCCATTCAATTCCATCGCACTGTGTCTTTGCCATGTTCCCCTCCATCCAGTGCACACCCCATTTTCACAGCCACTGCCTTCCTGGCGCCGCTGGCACGGTCGTGCCATCTTTGCCGTAGCGGAACTTGCCGTGCGCGCGTGGCCGGACTCACCCGGCCCGTCCCCAGTCAAGCCACCACCACAGGTAGCTTCAGGGTGAGTTGCTGATGCCCATCCTCTAGTCCTTTCATATCAGTTGTGCCTTGACTCATGGGAACACGACTGCCGCCGCCGCAGGGTGTCCACCACCGTGGAGGAAGCTCTAGACCGCATCTCCGTTCATCGCTTCGCCGCCCACCGCTTCACGTTTACATCTAGGTGAACATCGGCTCGCTATTGGGGACGGGAAGGGGCTAGGTTGGCCGGCGCGACCGCCCAGTGCCGTCACCGTCGCGCTGTTGTGCGCACGGGTCTTCGAGGACCTGGCCGTGGTAAAGACAAATTGTTTCGAGGGCTAGTTTGCTTAAACGCTGACTGTAAAAATAGTGTTGCGAACCTTGGAGGGAATCACAGGTAGCTCAAGGTCATTTTCGCAAAAAGACCGGCGCTCGCGGGCCTCCTCGTCGCGGGCTGTCGTCGCGCAGTTGGGTCATGCCCGCGTGGGCCGCGTCAGTGGGTCACGCATGCCCGCGCGCTGT